TGTGGCAGGCAGGCAGGGCTAGCTAGCCCCGTGTTAGCACCTTCGGAGGGGAGGCAGCTGCAGGCAGGCGGGCAGGCAGGGTGTGAAGGCGAAGGGGTCTGTGTGTCTGCCTGGAATCAAATCCTGGGGAGTTCATTCCAGCCACTGGAGCGCCAGGGATGGGGACCGGATGAAGTGGCCATGCTGGGCTGAGCAGAGCTGGTGGCAAGGGGACGGCAGGGAGCGTGAGGATCTGGGAGGTTTCTGGGCAGGACTGCGTGGGAAGCATGCGGCGCAGCGCACACTCCTGCAGCCTGGACCACCCAGGACAGATCCTGCAGGGCACGGATCAGGCGATGATGTAAAGACGGCAGAGACCTGGACGAGGCCAGAGCCTGCAGTGTCCTGAGCCTGCTCCCTGCGGCCAGGAGGGTCTGGGTCAGGGGCTCAAGACTGAGAGCTGACAGAAGCAGTTACAAAATAAATGGCTCCCTACCTTCCCCCCAACCCCAAAGTACAAAGCTATCATCAACAGTAAGCTGTTAGAAAATATGATGGGAAGCAATCTCAGACTTAAAAACCGAGGCAGCAGTGAGCTCAGGAGTAAACTAAATGTGAAAGTTGCAAAACTCAAGGGGAGAGGCCCCGCCCAGACCTCTGGTTGGGTTGCTGACTAATGCAGCCTTGGACAGAGTTCAGAAAAGAGGCCTTTTATTTTATAAGTTGGGAGGTGAACGATAGAAAGATTATTCGAATTTCACAGAAAAGAAAGCGAAGCATAGTTTCCTGAAAGGAAAACCCTGAAAGAATCCTTGCCTAGCCAGCTACGAAAATGTAACGCAGAGATGCATGGCTTGAGGTCTTTCAGGCAAAAGTCCTGTTGAAAGGAGAAGGTAGAGACAAGGGCGTCTGTCCAAAGCACAGCCTGTGCGCTGGCGCAGGTGAGGCGCACTCTCCTCTCTGGGATCGCACGCTCGGGACACTGTCACTCGGTCTCTAGCCCACTTGGACTGCAGATGACGCCACGAATCACTCCTGCCGGACCTGACTTCATCATTTTGGCATTTCCTCTTTATTTTTTTAATATTTCTCCATTATTTTTTTAGACTGTGCGGACCCTTTCATGTGTCAGAAAGGAAGGCATTTAGAGGTCTCTTGAGGCCTGGAGAAGTGTATTTCTTTCTTCTTTTTTCTTTTTCCAGGTTAAAACCTGCTTTTTAGAAGACATAAAAATGTGGCCACATGGAGATTTAGCTTGGTTACTAGGTGAAATATTTAGAATGAAAAAAACCTTGGGAGTTTTAAGAAGATGTCATTGAGGCCATCAACCAGTATTTTTGGATTAATGAATTAACATTCAATTATCTATAAGTTTAAATAATCTTGAGCCCTTTCCCTCTTTATCTCCTCTAATTGATTTCCTCTAAGGTCAGAAGACAGGATGGCGGGCTGGGGAGATGGCTCAGTGGAATAAGCGCTTCCCTGGCAAGCGCAAGGGCCTGAGTTCAATCCCCGGTTCCTCAAAAAAAAAAAAAAAAGAAAGAAAAAAGAAAAAAAAGAAAGAAAAAAAGAAAAAAAAAAAAGAAGACAGGATGGCAGTAGGTGACTGGCCCTGACTGAGTACTCACCCCTCAGCAGCTATGGGCTGAGAACTTCCTCATGTTCGCTGGATTACCACCACAAACCTGTGTGTCCTCCCCATTCCACACATGGGGAAACTGAGTCTCAGTGGGAGTCAGCAGCCTGCCCAGGCTTACAGAACCAAGGCATTGTAGGCGTACGATTTGATTCCGGGCAAGCTACCTCCAGAACCATCTCTGTTACCCCTTCCTGGGCTTCCTCTTTCTGTTTAGCATAACTTTTGTCTCTGGTCATCTTCCAATATTTTTTTCCCCAGAGGCATCCCCTGTCCATCTGCGGAGCTCTCAGACCCTTAGGCCCAGTGAGGGAGTGGAAGGGGCTCCTCCCTCTGGCTTTGGGGGTCCCCAGTCCCCTCTTCCTCCTCCCCCAGCTCCACACCTGCACCTAGAGGCAGCACCCTGAGGCCCCACACCTTGGGCAGCTCCAGCTGCGCATCTGTGGACTCCCCTGCCCAGCCCTCCTCCCCGTCCTCCCTCCCCACTGCTCCTGTCCTCACTATGGGGGCTGCACTGTGTGTGGTGGCCTTGTGCCCACAGTGCTGAACAACAGCAGCTACGCCCTGAAATTCCATTAGGATGGACTGTGTCAGCCAGCCAGTCAGCCAGCCAGCCAGCCAGCCAGCCCTCCACCAGGCCAGTTAGAACACAGGTGACCCATTAGGGCCTGGAGCTGGCCAGAGGCCACATGGCAGTTTCTGCACTATGGATCTGTGTCGGGTCCCTTAATGAGACCAGGGACTGGGGTTTTCCCACCATTTGCTTATTTTCCTGCTGCAGGGGCTGGCAACCTGTGGAGCTGCCTGAAATGCTCACTAATAGCCGGTGATTCAGGGGGTTGGCATCTCTCACTGCCTCCAGAGCTCCAGGCAGTGTTTTCCTCCACTGCTCTCAAAATAGCCAGGTTTGATAGCAGCATCTGAGAATGCTCTGGTCCCAAGTTTCTTAAAGTTGTAGCACCTGTTCCTGAAACCGCTCCAGGGAGAGCGTTAGAGGGAAGCTCAGCATTTTGCCTCTCGCTTTGCCACTCAGTCCTGGGGCCACAGCAGCGGGGTCCAGACCCTTCCTGCTCCTGAGGCACATACGTGAGCTCCATGACTGACACCAGCTCTACCTTCACAGTGTGTGCTGGGCACTGAGGTTGGAGAAGGTGACGGAGGTCCCATCGCCTCGGATCGGGCCACAGATGAGGGACTCTTAGGAGACCCCTGATCGGGGTGCCCTGGGAGGGCTTTGTTGACCCTGCTTTCGTGCATGTAGTTTGGAAGGTCCACCTGCGGGTTGTGTGCTTCCTGACACTGTGTAAACTTCGCCCTCCCTGAGCTCTGCAGGAGCCAGACTGTGGGGCGGGGGAGGTATCAGAGCCCCAGCGGCCTGGTCCTGCAGCTCACTCTTCCTGGTGAGTGCGGCCCCTTGGTGAAGTGGCTCTGCAGTCCAGCCTCTCGCCCCTAGGGCACAGGCCCTGCACTGTGCGCAGCCAGGCCACACGAGGGAGTGGACAGGAGAGGCTGAGCTGCAGCTTTACCAGGGCCAGGAAGGGCCCGCCAGCTGAGGGAGGTGTCATGGCTGCCTGTGCATTGTGTCCCCCTTCCTGGGCCAGTGCCCAGGCTGAACATTGTGGCCCTGTGCTCATCCTGAGCTCAGCAAAAGCTTGATGATGCTTTGGATCCCCGCCCCCACCCCCAGAATAAGAGAACCACCATCCCACGAGGGCTGGGGAAGACCCATTGCTGCAGGGTGACCTGCCTTGCTATTCTCCTGACCTGAAGCCCACAGCCACGGTAGGTCCTGGCATGGTCTGGGGTGGAGGCCCTGTGGCACCCGAGCAGGATCAGAAGTAGAACTGGGCCCCCACCCCCACCCCCAGGCTGCCTTAGCTTAGGACTGGCCGCTGCTGCTGCTGCTGCTGCAGTCATCCCAGGCTCTTACCGTGAAGGCTCCTGATTGTACAGACCTCAGGGTTTCCTTGGTGATGGAAGCTGTTTGTGTTCCTGAAACCTACACTGCCTGGTCATGAGGGTGTGGGACGAGTGAGTTAGTGGCTCGTGTCCTGTTTCCAGGCCTCCCTCCTGAGAGGCAGGGCAGGGCCTAGCCCCCGCTGCCTACGTCCTTGGCAAGGCCAGCTGTGTGCCCCTTGGGAATCCCTCCTGCCTCCTTTGAGTTCTTGCTGTCCTCAGGATTGGGTTCTTGCGTTGGTGGGGATTACCGCAGCCCAGTGGAAAAAGTCTTGGTGCAGCTTGAGTGAGCCAAATGCCTGCCTGGAGCTGGGCTCCCCACTCTGTTTTCCTGCCAGGCGCACAGCACTGTGACAGTGTTTCCAAGGGGGCTGTGGTTCTGCTTGCCCTCTGCCACACGCAGAGTATGTCTGGGAACTGGGGTCAGTGACTTCACAGCGTTGCTGCAGCACCCAAACAACTGTTGCAGCCAAAGCTACCAGCAGCCTGAGGGGTACCCAGAGCGGCAGTGGAGGGGGCTAGGGTCCACCCCCTGTGCAGGGCAAGGGCCTGAAGCAGTGGGGTGCGCAGTAACACAGACCAATTCCAGAGTTTAGGAATCGCCTGGTTGGGTGCTTTTCACCATCTTATCGAAAGAGCCAAGATAGCTCTCTGGGTGGTCTGAGGCTCTTGGGGCCTGAGGGTCTACCCTCACCTCTCGATTGTCTCCTTTTCACGCCTCTCCAAGATGTCCGTGTAGAACCCAGCTTGAGAACCACAGGGGCAGCCCGTCCCCCTTACCCATGAGGAGTGTTACTCCTTGTTCCCCTCTCAGCCACTCTGTGGGCTGTCTCAGACCTGTGACTCCAGGGACAGCGGCAGCGCTTGCCCATGTTCTAGGACACTGGGCTCCCAGTATGGCCTGGGTCCCTTCCCGTTGCCCAGAGAAGCCAGGCCCTGGGGTTCCTTCTTGTGCCCATCGCTCCAGTACTGCTCAGTGCTTGTCCACCTGGTCCTCGGTGGGGAAGGCTTTCCAGAGGCCCTGGCCCCCGAGCGCTTCCAGAGCCCTGGCCACTGGATCTCTTCATTCAGCTGAAACTGGCTGACTGGCTCCCAGGTGGCAGCAGGCGCTGCCCTGGTGCCAGGGATGGCAGGAAGCAGAGCCGCACAGGCCTGCCTGGCTCCGTGTGGGCTGGCAGGTGGGCTCCTCACCCCTCAGTGGGCACAAGGCCTGACACATCAAACAGGTGCTACCCAGTGCTTTTTATGAGAGGCACCCCTCTCTTCAATTTCTTTTGTTTTTTTAATTGGTGCTATACTTTTGTGAAGTATCATAATTACAATCATCTTGGGACCTGGTGCATACATAGATCACACCTCGACCATTTTTACTCACCACTGCTGGCTCTTTCATTGCTTAATGAATTATTTTGAAAAATTCTTTTCACAGGGCCCTATTGGAAGGTGAAAGTAATCCAGAGATCTTGATCTGGGTTGAGGACATTGAAAACAGGCCACAAGGTAAATGTAAGAATAACTCATGACTTAACTTTAAAATACTGTCCATCTAAACCAGTCATTCCACAGGGAGAGAAAGCATTGCCTATACAGAAGGGTAGACCTTAGCTGTGGGTTTTCAAGTGACAATAGTTCATCTGTCTTTTAAGTATCAGAAAGATTTTATTTGGTGGGATATAATTTCAATGGCTCATTATATAAGAATAGGTGGGGAAGGTCCTTAAAAAACGTATCTGCTCCCCTAACGATTATTTTGAGACTCTTCTCAGTGTGGGACTGGTGGAGTGAGAGGTAAGGACGTGGACTTGACTGTCACACCCTAGAAAGGGACATCCTTTTCTTTTGCAAATCAGGCAGCTCAGGTTGTAACCTGGGCACAGGGCAGTCCTCACCCTGGAGCTGCTACCCATGGATAGAGGAGAGGAAAGTGTATGGTGCCCAGCACCTTAGGGGTTTAGGAAGATGTGTCAGTGTCTGGAGGACTGTGTGAGCTCAGGCCAAAGCTTGAGGGCAGGGCCATCTTTCCTGTAGCCATGCGGCTGACAGAAAAGAACTTGGTGTCCATCAGAAGGACCTGAGTCACTTCTAGGATGACTTTAAAAAAAGAAAACTTGTGGGGCCAGGGAGATAGCTCAGTAGAATAAGCACTTCCCTGGCAAGTGCAAGGGCCTGAGTTCAATCCCGGTTCTGCAAAAACAAACAAACAAACAAACAAACAAACAAACAAACAAACAAACTTGCAAGCCCTATAAAGTTTTAGAGAAATTCTGGCTCAGCAGTGACAGAGGTAAGCTACATACAAAATGTGTTCACTGTGCAGCTGCCCCTCTGTACTGGGGAGATTGGTTCTAGCACTCACTCTGCTTGCTTGAGTGCTAAAATCTGAGGGTGCATAAGGCCCTGGCACAAAAAGGTACAGTATTTTCAGAGAACCTGCACGCGTCCTCCTGTATGCTTTAAATCATCTCTAGATCACTTATGATACCGAACGCAATGTGAGCCCTGTGCTGATAGCTATGGCTTTGTGACAGAGCCTCACTGTATTGTGCAAACTAATCTTGAACTCCCAACCATCCTCCTGCCTCAGCCTCCCAAGTGCTGAGATTCTAGGTGTGCGCTAGCATGCCTGGCATGTGCTCCCAGCTGGTTCTATGTCCTACACAGAACTACTTGTTAAATAGACCCACAGATAAGTTCCTACATATTACTGATAGTTCCTAGACTGGCACTCCTTGGTGCACTTACGTCTTTTGTAACCGAGTCTAAAGTAATGCTGGCCTCCTGACAACAGGATGAGAGATCTAGAGCCAGCCTGGGAGCTTCCATGTTTCTTGTGGAGCCTTAATTCAGGAACACAGGGCTCCACCACTGGATGGGGGTCAACTTCGGAACATTCTTAGTTTAAGATCAGTATGTTGAGTTAACAAGAGGAGTCTTTGTGGACAAGACCTCGGCCTGCGGTTTCTTCCTGGGTCCTGGGATCTGAAGGTGGCTCCTGACCTTGGATGTCAGGTGCGAGACCAAGCAGAGAGCTCCGTCCCTGCTCAGCCTGATGGGGGCTGGGCAAACACTAGGGGGCGCTTGCAGGGTAGCTGGAGCTTCCGGCCTGTTCTAACTCCTGTCAGCCACTCCCATGAGCACCGTGGGGTTGGGCACCCTGAGAGTAGCACTCTGTAGCCAGACACCCTGAGGACACCTCTCAGTTCCAGGATTATGGGATTAAGACAGATGGCAGTGCTGACGACCTGTCTGCTCCAGCACCTTTCCAAGTGAGTTATCAAATGCCAAAGTAGAAGAGAGGACAGCTTTAAAATCCTAAATTCTTCAATACCTGCTAGCCTACCATAGAAACCAGTGAAATAAAGTCACGTTAAACAGAGGAGAGGTATGCTATTTGCTGTTCAATAATTATATGCTTTGTAATTACAGAGCTCTTCTCTGCTGAAATAAGTAAAATAAACTTATTTCAACAAAGTAGAAATTAATGATTCTGAAATATCATAATATTGTGAAATTTCAGCCACCAACACCAGAACCTCTGACTTCTCTGGCTCATATCCTACTCTTTAACATCAGACCTCTGACATTTCTGCTAAAATGCATGACTATTTTAAAATCAGTAGCTGGGGAAAAGTACTAGGCAGAAATATGTGGAGCACTATATGTTATTGTGACAGGATTTCCAGAGCTATCATAAAGCTAATTTGAGGACTGAAAATATTTTGTTTGTAAGGACCTTCCTGTGGTAATAGAATTAATTCTGAGGCCATGCAATTTACTTAAAATAGCGCTTACACCATGTTAGAAAACAAAAGAGGAATGATGCCTGTCTGTCTTCTTAACCATTTATTTGTTCAATTTCTACAGATTTCAGAAACACATACTACCGCTACACTGACTCAGTGTTGCAGAGAAAAAATGAAAAAAATCGGTTTCCGAAGCAGAAAGCATCTCTGGCGGGTTCGAACCTCCGCTCAGCTGTGTACCCTAATGGGCAGCTTGGGTCTCAGAAAGGCACATCTGTTGGAAGTGCTGCCGGAAGAGGCTTCCTGGCCGTGGGATCTTCTGCCTCGGCCACTGCCCGGCAGGAAGACATTTATGAGAAAACTGTCAACAGTCAAACCAATATCCGAACTTTCTCTCCAACTCGAAGCCTTGTAAGAAATACCAATACTCAAGTGAGAACATTCCCTGAAAGACCAAAAACTGAAGGTACAAGGGATGCCTCCGTGTACTTAACCAAAGGTTCCACTGTCACCCAAGAGTCACGCCAAGATCGCTGGGGCAAGGTGACAACAGATGCTCCGGAGAGCACCAGGTCAGATGAGAGGACCGTCGTTTTGGGAAAGAAAACAGAAGTGAAAGCCACAAGGGAGCAAGAGAGAACGAGATCGAAAACCATCAAAATGAAGCCAGAAGAGAAAATGTTTGATTCAAAAGAGAAAGCCTCAGAGGAAAGAAACTTAAGATGGGAAGAATTAACAAAGATGGATAAAGAAACAAGAAAGAAAGAAAGCCAGAAAATGAAGGAGTGGGCCAAAGGGCAGGACTCGCCAATGGAGAAGAGTGTGAAAGCAAGGGAGATACCCATTAGCCTAGAAGTAGCCCAGGGCAGCAGATCCGAGATGTCCCTGCAAGACAGACTGACACCTGGAGAGAAGCACACTGGAGACAGGAAGAGCAGCAAAGCAGTAACAAAGGAGACCAGGTTCAGGCTGGACACCAGTGACACTGCTGGTGTGCTGCACAGTGACACCACAACGGAAACCATAGCAGAAAACATTGTGACCAGTATCCTTCAGCAGCTTACCCAGTCTCCCGAGGGGGAGGCACCTGTCACCTCTCTCCCAGATACAAAAGTCACTTACATGGACAGGAAAGAGCTTCCAGGTGAGAGGGCAACCAAGACAGAGATAGTGGTGGAATCGAAACTGACTGAAGACATCGATGTTTCTGATGAAGCCAGGCTGGACTACCTCTTAAGCAAGGATGTCAAGGAGGTGGGCCTGAAAGGGAAGTCCACAGAACAGATGATAGGAGACATAATTAACCTCGGTCTGAAAGGAAGAGAGGGGCGGGCAAAGGTCGTCAATGTGGAGATTGTGGAAGAGCCCATGAGCTATGTGGGGGGCAGGAGGACAGAGGAGGTCTCTACTCCCTTCCAGGTGGAGGAGGTTGACGATTTGTCTCCAGGCTCCAGGGGGCTTGTTGAGGAAGAGGAAGGGGACGGAGACACCCGTGTCACCTTCTCAGTTGATCAGCATCAGAGGACCAGGCAGCCCTGGGAGAACATCACTCACGTGGAAGAAGTGACGGAGGCAGGTGACACAGAGGGAGAGCAGAGTTACTTTGTGTCGACCCCAGACGAGCACTCGGGTGAGCATGACAGAGAGGGCGAAGGCTCGGTGTATGGGCAGATCCACATTGAGGAAGAGTCCACCATCAGGTACTCCTGGCAAGATGAAATTGTGCAGGGGGCTTGGAGAAGGAGAAATAGGGACAGTGAGGCGGGAGAGAAGGACGTGCAGGATGTAGATGTTCCAGCACACTCCCTGGGGGCTGACGTGGGTTCTGCCCATTGGAAGGAGGAAGCTAGTGGTGAATTTCATGCGGAGCCCACGGTCATTGAAAAAGAAATCAAAATACCACATGAATTCCACTCCTCCATCAGGGGCACCAAGGAGCCCCGAAAGCAGCTGGTGGAGGTCATAGGGAAGCTGGAGGAAACCCTCCCGGAGCGCATGAAGGAAGAGCTGTCCACCCTGACCAGAGAGGGCCGGCACGAGCCAGGGAGCGTCTCGGTTGACGTGAAGAAACTCCAGACCCCTGACAGCAGTTCTGTGACCCTAGTCGCGGAGGTCAACCTCTCCCAGACTGTGGATGCTGACCAGTTAGACCTGGAGGAGCTAAGCAGAGATGAGGCGGATAAAATAGAGAAAGCAGTAGAATCAGTGGTACGAGAGAGCCTGAGCAAGAAGTGTGGCCAAGGGCCTGGGAGTCCGGACAGGGAAGATAGAGAGGAGGTACCCACTGGTGGCCTTCGCTTCAAGCGCTGGGCCACAAGGGAACTGTACAGCTCTGCTGGGGAGAGCCAAGATGCTGGCCAGGCCTCTCACAGCCCAACACAGCCCACGGCCCAGGTCCCAGTGCCAGCCACAGTGGAGATCAGCAGCCCACGTGGCACGCTGCAGTCACACGTGCTAGAGGAGGTGAGCTCCTCTGTGAGGCACATTAGGCTGGAGCCCACTGAAATCTGGAGGACTGAGCAAGTCTCCCATGGAGGAGCCCCTGCGGAGATGCTGGAGGTAAGTGAGGACCACAGTCAGGCAGCCAGCGTGCCGGGGACCAGCAAGTCTGAGATGCACTTTACCACAGGCCCCCATCAGAGCCAAGTGTCCACCAGCATCATCTTTCAAAGCCCAGGCCCTGCCTGGCAGGAGGCAGGGAGTACAGAAGAGCCCAGCCCGGCAGAGCTGTCCACGGACACAGACAGACCTGGGGGGACGCACAGCACATTCGGTGCCAAGCAGTTTCATGCTGAAAGGGAAATTAGTTTTCAGGGTCCTGTTTCTGGGGCAGTGAGGGCTGGTGATTCTTTTGCAACTGAAGAGCGGGTGGGTACCCAGGTTGCTGTAAGCCACCTCCAGTTAAGCCCAAAAGAAGGGTTCAGGGAACAAATCCAGTTCATAGTGCCCACCACAGACAGAGTAGACATCCGAGGAGAGTTTGAACACTCTGCAGAGCTACCGGAGCCTGTGGATGCCAGGCTTGGGGGGCATCGAGCTGCTGAGCACGTGGTTTCCCAATCCGTGGTGCTCAGCAGCTCCGAAGGCACCGTGGGCAATGATGGCTTAACAGATGTGACCCAGGCCACTCGTAGTTACACTTCAGGTAGGAAAATCCTCATGACTGAAAAGAGCACATTCCAAGAGACAGTTTCTGAGTTACCTCAGGAGCACAGTGTAGGGGCCATGACAGCAGCAGAAGTGACATCAGGCACTAGCAGAACCTTCAGGCACATTCAGCTAGGGCCTCTGGAGACCAAAACCTCAGAACACATTGTCATCCACGGACCCATAACCAAAACCTTTGTACTTGCTGGTTCAGAGGACCCCCCTGAGCTAGATGAGCGAGCTGACCACAGCAGAACCCCAGGACGCCCTTCCTCGGGGCCCAAAGAAACTTCCTTTACCTTTCAGATGGACGTGAGTAGCAGAAAGGCCACTCCCACCTGGACACGGGAGGCAGGGGCGGAAGTGGAAGCTCACAGTGTGTCTGACCATGGCGCCTGGAGAGACACTGACAGCAGGAGGGACCGGGCAGCTGGCGTGAGCTCCCAGGCCTCCGCTGGGCATAGGGGGCAGACCACCCAGGAGGAGGGCACGGAGCAAGCTGGGTTTGATAAGACGGTGCAGCTGCAGAGAATGGTAGACCAAAGGTCAGTGGTTTCAGATGAAAAGAAAGTGGCTCTCCTTTATCTAGACAGTGAGGAGGAAGAGAGTGACGGGCACTGGTTTTGATAAGCAGACACATTTTGTCTGAAGTGCCACACTGTCTGGTAAGCACTAACACACTGAGGCCTTCTTATGTAGAGGAGGGGAAGCTCGTCCCAAAGCTGCCCCATTTTTACTTTCATTAGAGAACTCCAGGCAATGTTCATATACTTGAATCTGTAAAGGTGTTGGGTTAATTCATGCCTTTAAAGGCCTGGGAGTTCTGCCTTTGAGTTGGGACTTTTACAAAGACACTTTTAGCCTTAAAAAGTTCCTTTTCCTGAAGTTTTCTCTCCATTGGTGGCCACGATTTCTCCCAGTTTGCACCTGATCACAAACTTGGCTTGCATCCGTTTGAAACCATGATTACTTACAGGCAGCCAGATGCTTAAACATTAATCAGGATCATATATTGAAGAATAGATTTTGCGTGCATGTGCTAATATGAAATAACAAACTAATATTATAAGAGAAAAATGCATTTTTCTCTTTCCAAAGTTGTTTCAAGACTATGTTTAAAAAAAAAATCACTACATGATTTCATCTTTAGGAAAAAATTCCTTGTTAGAGAGTGAAATTACTTGCCGTGCTTCTATGACTTGCTCTCTGTGTGTAGAACTTCAAAAGAATGTGAGCTCTTCTTTTCTTTGTGGTGGAGAGGGTCTCAGGTCAGCATGCTGCTGCGTCTGCACACGTGTCCTGCTCTGCGCCCATGGGCAAGGGGAGTGAGGGTCAGGAATTGCTTACAGGGCCGTTTGAGTGGCACTAGGTCAAGAGGTAGCGCTCAGCCCAAGTGTCTTGCTTTGTTATCATCTGAGCTCTGGAGCAGCGAGCTCCCATCAGAGCCCCTGTCCCCGAGCTCTTCTACGCCTTCGCCCTTAGCAGCAGGATGTCCAGCTTCCCTGGTGGGGACCAGATCCTACAGACAACAAAGAACGTGCTGAACTCAGACTGCGGCTGAAGCAGCAGGTTGGTCGCGGCAGGAAACCCAGAGGAGCTGGGCTCCACCAACCACTTGAGATCAGAGGTCCTCAGAGCTCGGAGGGGGAATATGCAAGCAATGACCTCACGGGAGCCTTTGCACTTTCAACAGAGACTACGGCAGTGGGGTGTTGGGTGCAGGGAAGCACAGCCTGTGTTAGACAGAGGAAGGTGTTCTGGGGACAGAGCTGGTGCTTCTCTTGCAACCCAGCCCTGGGAATGTCAGAAGCTCTACTCTCGCTGCCCCAGAGAGCGGATGTACACCACTGAATTTAAGCATCAGGGTGACCTTGTTTGGATTTGCTTTATTTTACACATGGGCATTGTTTTTCAAGTTCCCATCTTGAAAGGTATAGCATCACATAAGAGTAGCATCCTAGCAGCCACCGCATTCGCGTAGGCCAGAATAGATGCTTTCACGTGAGCCTGTCTAAACCCTGCTTCCTTTGGCACTTTAGACCCAACTGTAGTGTACTGAAGAAGAAGAAGAAGAAGAAGTATCCAAGAGATGCCACTTTCACAGAGGTTCTGATGGTGGTGGGGAGCAGCGGGGGACGATCTTCCCTCACCCTCTGTCAGGGTGTGTGTCAGGGTGTGCGTCAGGGCTCCTGGGACCCAGGAATAGCTACTGCCAACAGGTCAGGGAGAATGAGTTTTCTTAGTTGATAAATGGGGTAGAAATACAGTACAGCTTTTAAGTGATATGCTTCTAAAGACACTGTGAATCGGTATAGAAAGGAAGTTGCTATGAATCACAGGTTGAAACATTAACCTTTGTTATCCATCTACCAGACAAACTAGTGATCATCAGGCGCTTAGACTGGTGACTGCTGTGCCAGGGCTTATTTCACACACAGTCAAAGATGTGCCTTAGCTTCGTGGTGATAGGCAACAGCATTTGTCTAAGTGACCCATTAGGATTTGGCTGAGGACGCTTGGATGCTAAGACCTTAAGTGGGCCTAGCTGACGTCAATGTCCTAGCCCCTGACCTTGGGAACAGATGCTGATGTGAACGGGTTATTACTATCATGACCCACCTCCATTTATTTGGGACAATAAACATCTTTTGATTTTAATTTTCGTCTCTACGTTGGAACATACATCTGCAAGGAAAGGTTCTGCCTGCTGTGTCTGCCCGAGGACTGATGCACTGTCCTCAGTTACTGAGTCTCTGGGTCACCCCAAGCAGGGCCCACTTTCACCACTGTGGCACCTTAGGTCACCCCAAGCTCTTACTCAATGAAACCAGTCACTCTGGACACAAGAGAAATCAGTATTGTGCTTGGACAATTATTCAATGAATGTTTCAACTTTCCACTCTTTGTACTGGCATGTTTAAGAGGGCTGTGTAAAACCGAGTCACCTAAGAAGTTGATTTTGCTAACTTCCTGGTCCCTAGAAGGCAAATGGTACTCTATAGAATGTATGGAAATAAAAATCTGAGGAAAAAAAAACCCTACATTGTTCCTAAAGAGAGTGAATTTTTCCAGTCAGTGTTGGTGTGGTCTCTTTTAAACTCTAATTAAAGCAAATGTGAGTTTTGGGGTAAGTTTTTACAATAGGACAGAATTACTGGGAAAAATATGAAGGTTGCAGCTCCCCTAGACTGCCCGCGAATCAGAGCTTGGATCATCGGTACAGAATTAGAAAGCAGGGTAGACACAGCATCAGATCAGCTGGCTCGTAATCAAGGATAGCCTGGACAAACATGCTGTCACCGCAGCCTGGCCCAGCAGTGGATGACCAAGCACCCCATGTACCCAAGGTAAGAGTGGATCCCCAAAGACAGGATCTTCAGTGCTACGACCAGGACCATCCTGGGAAATGCCAGCTGGTTGGTCATGTTAAGCACAGACAGAAGGTTAATTATGATTGTTTCTTTTTCTTTTCTTTCTTTCTTTTTTTTTTTTTTTTTTTTTTTTTTTTTTTTTTTTTTTTTTTTTTTTTTTTTTTTTTTGCAGTACCTGCGATCAAACTTAGGACCTTGCACTTGCCAGGGTGGTGCTCATGCCTCTGAGCTATCTCCCCAGCCCTATGATTGTTTCTTAGGCATTGGAAAGAATTATGGAAGTTTATAACAAATGATAACTAAATAGATTTACCTGTATGTACTCAGCAAACAGGTGTCTACCAACACAAATTAAAACGCAAAGCTGTATGCTTCCTTTCTTATAGAAGTTAAATTTAACCCATGCGACACATTTGGTGAGACATTCCTAATTCAGCCTTTCTGGTGAATACATTTTCAAATGCATTCAGTTTCTGTGAACCCAAGGTAACCTTACTCCAAGAAGTACGGAAAGGAACAAGTAACAGATGAAAATAATGCTTCTTCAGATGTTCTCCTAGGACCCAATACCATGAGCTGGGAGGGTTAGCCATTATACAGTTACTTCTAGCTCCGTATGCTGGCAAGTTCAGGGTCAAGGACCCTGCAGATTTGCTTTAGGGAGAGGCATGGCTTCCTTGTAGATGTCCAGCTCATCGCTGTGCCCCCGTGCAGTAGAAGGAAAGATCACCTTTCTTGTGCTGCATCTTACAGACTCCAGGCCTGCACCTGCATGAGCCACTTACCTCCAAAAGACCCGCCTCCAAACATCATGTTGGAGATTTAGCTTCAAAAATGGATTTGGCAGGGGGGCGGGCGGGGAGATGGCTTAGTAGAATAAGCAAGTGCAAGGGCCTGAGTTCAATCCCCGGTTCCGCAAAAAAAAAAAAAAAAAAAAAAAGGATTTGGGGAGGGCAGGGCATAAACAGGCCACAGCAGACTTCAGTGTTGTATATAGTGAAATGTGTGTCTTCAGATAGGGTACTTGGTAAGCACCGCTCACACTGTTTTGCACCTTACGGTCATCTTGCAGGCTGGATCTGGGTTGATGGTATGTATGCATGTGCATGTGTGTGTGCATGTGTAGGGGTGGGGGCTCCTGAGAGTGCTGAAGGCCGCTGTGGAACAGCTCTAGGGACCACAATTCTGCTAACTCCAGAATTAGCTGTTCACCCAGTCTGGGGCTGAGCCCACAGGGGGAAGCAGCACAGGGTCCTTGCTGCAGCTGTCTACCAGGGCTTGGGTCTGCTGGCCTTTGTTTCGATCCCCTTTGATCCCTGACCCCTAGGCTAAGTCAGGTCCGCTCTCCACCTAGCCCCTTGTCTCAGTTCTTTCCTTCTGTGGCAGTGGCTACTGCTGCCGGTGGCTTGTTCTACCAGCATATATGTGGTACCTAGTGCCACATTGGGACACAAGCTCTGACAGTGGGGACTGCATGTCTTGCTTATTCTGTTCCTGGTTAACACAGGTCTGGTATATAGTAGGTGCCCAGCAAAATCCAGTAAGCACCTGAGCACATGAATGAAGGCACAGGGTCTGCCTATGGGTCCCTGGGTGGTTCCTTTTCTGTTGCTGTTAACTTGTAGTGCTGAGAACGGAAGCCAGGTCCTCCAAGTGCTGGCGAAGTGCTCTGCCACTAAGCTGCTCCCGAACGCAGCCTTCACCTCAGCACACACGGACACCAGTGCTTCCAACTTTCTCTTTATTGGCATTCTATTCTCAATTCATGTTACCTTCCTGAAAGAATAGGGCTTTTTCCAGAGTCTTTCTGTTCCAAATATGACCCCAGAGCCATGCAAGGGGCTCTATGTCCAGCCACACACAGAGGTTACTGTCCAGCACAGAAGCGCTGCACTATGGAGAGAAGCCTTTCAGCCATGGTCGTGCGGAAGGACAAGAATCCATGCAGCAGCCCCAGGTCACCCTGAAGTGTGACCTGTGGGCAGGGTTGGGTGTGGATGGCTATGGAACATCAAGAAGCCAGCCTTGAAAATCCATGTGAGGGACGTTAAACGCCACCGTTTGTGGGAGACAGCACCCCATCCTGCCCAAAGCTTTTGTTGGGGTGGGGCTTTCAGTTGGTCAGGCTGCTCCTGGCCTTCCCAGGGACAGTGCGCTGGGTGGCACTGGTACAGAAGGCCACCTTGGCTTTTGGAGACTGCTGTGGCCTTGTGGCGCCCTCGGGTGCCCTGGAAGGAGCAGAGGTGGGTGAGTGTAGCCGCTTAGGACTTTACGGCTCCCCCCACCCCAGCTCCACTGAGAGGCCTCGGGAGGGGGTGTGAGGTGGGCTGCTGTGTGAGCCGGGCGAGAACAGAGAGGACCAGCAAGGTGGAGGGAGACCACCTGGGCTCACCCTCCCTGCTGGCTGGGGGGGCTCCACTTCAGGAGCCAGGGGCTCTGCAGGGACACAAGCTCTGTGAGGTGGAAGCCTTCCCAGTGAGGAGAGGACTTGGGCCAGTCTTCACAGAGCGGCCAGTGACTCTGGCCCTGTCCTGTGGGACACCCAGAGGGCTGGGGGAGCCAGGCAAAGCTCCAGGGGCCACACCTTGCCTCTGCAGCAGGCGTAGGACCCGCAGGGAGCTGAAGGCCAGCCTGTGCTTCTGACACTATTCAAGAGTGAATTCCTTCCTACTGTCTGGGCAAGGGAGGTATTTTACAACAGTTTTCACAGCACTCGTCTGGCTGTGATGCAGGCTACAAGAAGTTGGTAACGCTTCCCACCCTACAGGGTAGAACCATCCTTCTGAGGTTCTGCAGGGGGAAGGAATGTGGGCCTCAGAGGAGGAGCGAGGGGGCACCAACTCACTTGGCCAGGATGTCCACCGACTGCTGGGTGGCCACGGTCCTCTTGTCCTGTGGTCCGTACAGGAGCGTCTCAATCTGAAGACACTGTGAATGGCAAGGAGTCGTGGTGAGCTCACGGAAAGGTCCCCAAGAGCACTCTGCAGGGAGATAAGGTCTTCCTCGAGGGAGAGGGTGGAGGCTTCATTGTTAGACCCACTCTGGGATGGAGTGGGGGCCTTCTGGGGTTTTTCCTGAGAACAGTCTGGCCTTTGATTTGGCTGTTCTGAGGAAGGCAGCAGACAAAGATGCAGCTCGCCACAATTTCCTAAAACACTCGGAATGTAACAATATATTTAAAAGGAAATTCAATAAATAAAGGCAAGAACATTGGTGCTGAGCAGAGGATGTTCTGTTTCTACTTTTAAATGATTTGTGCTATAGCCCAGAAATTTAAAAACAAAAAAGTTGTTTTTATAACTAAATGCTTTCTCTTCTTTCACTGTTACATAGCGATTTCTTAGTTACTAGGATTGAATATTCAGCTTAATGGTTTTCTACCACTGCCTTTGGCTTACTTGCTCCCTTTTGCTTAGATCTTGGCATTTGATTATTTATATGAGGTCAGGAAGAAAGAAAAAATTCAAAGAAAGAATAAACAATAAGGTGTGGGGCTGGTAAGATAGCTCAGTGGACGAAGTGGCTGCTTAGGAAAGTGCAGGGACTGGGGTTCCATCCCCAGCACCACATGCTGTGCCAGCCCTGCCCCTGGGCACACTGAGCCAGCCACCGAATCCCGGCATGGTAGAGAATGCCTGTAATCCCTGCGCTGGAGAGGCTGAGACAAGAGGATCACTATGAGTCCGAGCTGTGAAATGAAACCCTGTTATCAAAAAAAACCTAAACAAAAAAACCATAGCAACTGAGACAGTGTGGATTTTAGCACATAACAGACATGGCCCTGGATCACTGGGCAGAGAGCGGCGACAGAACTGGCCTTAATGACTGGCGAGAGAGAGGTGTACTAGTCAGGAATGGTACCGGACCACTGGTTTTGCAAATGAGAACAACCCTACCGCACGCCAAACGGAAATTAATCCCAGAAATACTTTCTGACTTCATTGTGAAATGCAAAATTGGGGAGCTGTTAGATGAAAAGATTAGGGAGTATCCTTATGATCTCTAGGCAGAGAAATATTTCTTAGATGAGATCAGGACAAACCAAAAGTAAAGACTGGTCAAATTTAACTACAGTCTACTAGAATGCCAAGTATCTCTGTACCAAAATTCACCATAAGCAAAGTACGAAGACAGCCCGTCTGAGTCAAGATACCTGAAATGCATGTAGTTGAGAACAATTAAACATTCAGAATACACAAAGGGCTCCTAAGAGGTAAGAAGAATCAACAGTAACAAACTTCCAACAGAAACATGTCAGAAGATACGAATTAGTCAAGGAGTTAACAACTGGCCAACAAACACGCTCAATCTCACTAATAACAGAAAAAGCAAATGCTTCAGCAAGTGCCCCTTTAGACGGCAAAAATTATACCCTGATGATCTAGAGCTTTGTCAGACACAGGAAGCATATATTGTAGCACTGGTGTGACCCTTTGTAGAACGATTTTTTTTTCCTTTGGCAGAACCGGGGATTGAACTCAGGCCCTTACGCTAGCCAGGGAAGCACTTATTCCACTAAGCCGTCTCCCCAGCCCCTGTAGAACAATATTTAGTAGTACATAAAGATAATGATGTTCATATGCACTATATCACATGTACAATTTGCATAATATGACATGTTTGATAAGCATGCACCTATCCACACAGATCACCCGCACGGAAAAACCCCAGATTAATGGGACAGTGGGGTTCCTTTTTTTTGTTTCTTTCTGGTACTGGTGATCGAACTCAAGACCTTGCACTGGCCAGGCAGGTGCTTATGCTGGGGAGCTATCTCTCCAGTAACCTCACGATTATAACATCAGGAAGAAAATGTAAATTTTAAGTAAATGTACATAATATGAAGTTTTAAAATATTCAAAACCATGGTAAAAATTTTTAAAAGTATGGGACTAGCATCAAAGTCCGGACAGTTGTGAGGGGAGGGTGGGTAGACACACCAGCGACTTCGCCTGTGTCGGTCATGTTTTTTCTGATGTTATTAGTGAGTTCAAAGGTCTTTGTTATTTATACTTTCCTGCATACACGAAATATTTCTTAATATATTTTTAAAATATTGAATTAAGTTTTCTACATGGGTAACAGCTTGAGTGAAAAAAAAGTGTGACAGTTTGGGGACATAATACTAAAGACTGTGTTCGTTTTCATCTGCCAACCAATTTTTAGGTCTTCAAGAAAATTAAAATGCAAGCAACCAAAATGTTCTGTCTTTATGAGCTGTGGAAAATAGCAAAACTGTCTGGTTGCATGTGTAAATCTGAGGAACTGAGAATGTGGTCCTGGAATCTGAGAGTGGGGTGGTCTTGAAAGGAGGAAATATCCGACAATATGATGTTTTTTAAATAACAGAAAGTATTCACTATTCCTTCGCTGAATTATGCAGCACTGGGGAGTAGCCAGCTCTTCCTATTATTGTATTCAGCACACAGTTCAAATTCTGCAGACAAGGCTCCCAGCCCCCCTGCCCTAAAGCTTCTGACTTTCTGAATCTGTGCCTGTGCTGTGGCCTGGCTCAGGCCACCAGCTGCACGTTCCACAGGTCTCAGCCAGTGTCACTTTCATCCACTGATAGGCTCTGGTGACCTTGGGTCTTCAGGAACCTGGAGGACGCCCTGCTGCACTGGGGCAGGGGTGGGACACATTCTGCAGTCATGGGACTCGCTACTCAGTGAAACTCCTCAGGCACCCAGCTCAGGATGCAGCCCACCTTCCCCTTGGTGGGGCAGCACTTTGTGCCCACAGCCACGCGGCAAAGGGGCGTGAGGAAGGGAGAGTGAGTCCTGAGGCCAGCCCACCTCAGCTCGGCTGCTCAAGGCTAGTCAGTCATGGCTAGGCAAGGAGAGGCCAGCTTGCAGCATGCACACCTCCTGCTGCCGGACTCCCCTGCCTCCTCCTATACCAGAAAGGCCCTTGCTTGGTGCAAGAGATGTGGTCTGATTTCAACCCTTCCCCCAGCTTCCCTGTTTAGGAATTGATGAACACCTCAGCTTTGGTTCATTAGGAGGTGAGCTGAAGAGAGCACGTCACGGCATTAATCCCTTCACGGTGGCTGTAGAACTCTACATACAGTCCAGGTTACTTGAGACAGTCTGAGGTCTCCATTCACTCTGCCTTAGCATAGGGCCTCTGAGAGGTAAAAGGTGGACAGGACCTGTACCCTATCCCATCTGTGACTTGAAGCATCTTCTTCCTGGTCTCTCATTCTCTACAGAAGAGATGCCTTTTTAAAAAAAGGTCCTTGGTATAGGGTCTTACTATGCAGCTCGGACTTGTAGTGATCTTCCTGTCTCAGCCTCCTCTGTGCTGGAATTACAGGCGTGCACCACCAGGCCTGGGCTTGGTGGCTGGCTCAGTAGCCTGGAGGCAGAGCCAGCATGGGATGTGGTGCTAAGGATCAAACCCTGGTCCCTGTACTTGCCTAAGAAGGTGCTTAGTCTGCTGAGTTATCTCACTGCCCCAATAAAAGATTTTTTTTTAAAGATTAAAACTTTCTCTTTTTTTTTGGCGGAACCGGGGATTGAACTCAGGCCCTTGTGCTTGCCAGGGAAGCGCTTATTCTACTGAGCCATCTCCCCCAGCCCCTAAAGATTAAAACTTTCTTAAAAAAAAAAAAAAAACAACTTTTAAACTACATGTACTATTGTTATGATGGCATGTAAGATTTTGTATTTATTGACACTGGTTTGTAAAATCGGATGTTCTTTCAAAAAACTCTGAAAATAGCTTTATAAAGCTAAGGTGAACCTTCCAAAGAAAAGACAGGAATGCTGAAGACCCCTTGTTTCTCCCTCAGTCTGTCCATTGTCAACAAGGGTGAGCACCTGCCAGACACCCCAGTGAGATGCTGCCTGCCCAGGCCAATGGTGCCACTTCCAACTGTGGTGATGCAGTCTTGGGAGACTTTGTCTTCAACAACTAGATTCTCAGCAGCTGCTTTGCTCTGTGACAGTTGATACTGTAAGAGCTGTCTTATGGCGCAGCCTACCCTAGGGACAGGGCTGGCATAGCATGTGGTGCTGGGGACCAAACCTCAGTCCTAAGCTTGCCAAAAAGGAGTTTTAGACCGCTGAGCTATCTCTCCAGCCCCCAGATAACTTTTCTTTCTTCTTCTTCTTCTTCTTCTTCTTCTTCTTCTTCTTCTTCTTCTTCTTCTTCTTCTTCTTCTTCTTCTTCTTCCTCTTCCTCTTCCTCTTCCTCTTCCTCTTCCTCTTCTTCTTCTTCTTCTTCTTCTTCTTTTTTTGGTGGAACCAGGGATTGAACTGAGGCCCTTGCGCTTGCCATGGAAGTGCTCATCCTACTGAGCCATCATCTCCCTGGCCCTAATTTTCCTGATAACCTTTTCGTAAGTAGAAAATTAGCCTGTTACAAACTTCATCTAGAACCTGCTGTAATAGTTGTATATTTATTTAAGGAGCATACATTGAATTTGCAACGTTCTGCTCTTCTCAGCTAAATTTGTTTAAGCACTTTTGTGTGAAGTAGGTGTTTTTATTCTTTTGCTGTAAACAGAATAAAAGTCAATGACTGTTAGCTGAATCTCCTTGAGCCAGGCATCATCAACATGTGGCTGAGCTACAAAAAGAACCCTCAGGCCTTGACCTTAGAACATTCTGCACTGAAACGCAGACGTCCTGCACTCGTGGCTGTCTGAGGCCACTGAGCTGTTTGGGAAGCCGCCCGCCATATGGTGTTTCTCACTTTTCTGTATGGTGAACAAACTGAAATCTGAAATCCAGATGAGTGACAGGGACCTGATGTCACTATTACTCTCCAATTTCATATCAGGGGCTGGAAGAAGCCATCTCTTGGGTTTTTGCTATTCCTTAAATGACAAAGTGGGCACCTTTTTTTCCTTGCAGGAAGACAGCAGGGGACGCTGCTTTTACAGTCGCCTTGCGTGACCGTGTTCCTCTTGCTGGCTTTTGTGTTCAGGGTGCAGCACGGCCCCTGACACACAGGCAGATGTGATGGTTACTAACAAATCAGTGCTTACATAAGCGACCAAGTGGAAGCCCCAGGGACATTTTAACAGGGAGCTTTCAGACATGGCTGGAGCACAGGGCTCCAACGACTGGCCGGTTACTGGATACGACGGGCAGGCAGCTCTGCTGTGAGTGCGAGAGCACAGCCCAGGCAGAAAGAGTGCTGTGTGCCGGCTGCTGCTCCTCTCAGGAGCCATTTATGAAGCTAGGGCAGTAAAGAAGGAAACTGGCTGGAGCAGGAGGCTCAAGCCCGGAGTGGCTGAGAGAGACCCTGCCTCCAAATTAAAGGTGGGCGTGGTGGGGGTGGGGATGCGGCTCAGTGGAAAGGCCCTGGGTTCAGTCTCTGATGCTGAGAAAGAAAAGAATAATCTTACGCATTAGATGCACACTTTAAAAAAAAAAGATTTTTGATATGGCTTTGAGCTTTTCAAAGCCAGGTTTCAAGTACTCAGAGCCCTGGAAGCTAAGCCCTATTTCTGTGCTTCTGGATTTGCACACTTACATGGCGGAGAGAGGGTGGCCTGGGGGCGCTGCGGGGTGGAGGCCAGCGTTCTCGCTTAAACACATACGCACATCAACAATCAAACTGACAAGGGAGTACATTTGTTTTAGAGGGGTCTCTCCAAATACGCAACCATTCCCTGGGGCTGTTTCCGTAGCAGCGCCCCCTGCAGGGGGGAGGGTGGGGTGGGGTCTCCTTCCTCTTGGTCCTCCAGCCTAGGTTGGCATCGAACAGTCACTCCCGCTGCGGGGTGTCAGGTATGAAAGTGCCGAGGGAACTCATCCTACTTGTTAACAGGGGAAGGACTCCTAGGGCTCTAGCCAAAATCATTTAAATCACAAGGCTACGCAACTCCAAGGTAAGAAACGGAGAAAGGCCTATGCTTTTCCTGGTGAGGGTCCTCACCTTGTATACCGCATCATTTTTTGCATTTTCTTGATGTGGAATGTAAAGGAAAGCCAGAGAAAGGTACATTTTATGAACCACAGTAATGCGGAGGATCCGAAATCACTCCTCTGTACATGTATTATCCGGCACTACATTACATCCGTGGAGTAGGAGGAGGAATTACCCAAAAGCTCACCAACTGTGCTTCTATTTTCGGTCAGTCCCCAAGGCTAATAAGAAGCCACCAGACACAGAAGTGTAAAATGATTTCAACACTTAAGGAAATAAAAATGTTTTCATTTACAAATCACTGTAAGGCAGGCAGAAATTATTAACTTCAGGAGTGGAAAGGATCAACCAAAATCCAGTGCAGCAGGCCTTGCTCCTCCGTGGAGACACATCAGGCTCAGGGGCGAACTGACTCCCCTCAGCCTAGTCCTCGAGGACAGCCCCGTCCTCCAACCTGTGTGGCTTCCTGTCTGTAGCCCTTGTGGCTGAGCACCTGCGGTTTGCCAACCCCGTGCCTGCCTCCGTGATGTGTGCCTACCTCTCGGGCTGCCAGTGTGATGGGGACACCAGCACTGCACACAGGACATGCTGTCACAGCTTGTGATGGCAACTATGAAGACCAGCAATGGGGACTGCACGAGAGCACAAAAGGAGGTGCGGGTGGGTGGTGGGCAAAGGAGGGCTGAGAACTGCAGGATGGCAAGTTGGCCAGCTGAAGACCACCGGGGAGGAAGAGGCCGAGGTGGTGGGGAGACCCAGGAGAAGGGAGCCCAGTGTTTGAGGAAACACAGTCTCCACCACTTTCTCTGTCTCTCTCACACACAGACCTCTAAAACCCTTCTCGGAGGGCCACTAGTTCCAAGACCTGAGGGTTCATATGTGGACAGGGCAGGTGGACAGGGAGCCTCTCGTGGGATAAACCCCAGTATGTGGAAAATGGGAAATGAAGGACGGGAGAGAAGCCCAGATGCCACCACCCACACAGTGGCTCCTTGGGAGTCCCTGAGGTCTCCTGAGAGCCAGCCCCTGGGGGTGGATGCCATGCTTGTCATGTCCTCTCTCCTCACCTCCAGGTTGTCAAGTGCCGTGGGCTCTATGTCCTCACTGCCATCCCTGGACTCCCCCAGGACTTTGCTCCATCCCCTGGCCACTGTCTTGGAGCAAGCTACCATCATCTTTTTCCAGCACAACTGCAACACAAACGTTTAGAGACAAGCATGTCAGCAGGACTTGCTGCGCAGGTGGGGCCTGCTGTGCACGACCCCAGAGGCAGGGCTTGGTGCTGTGCGCAGGTCAGGCTGGCCTGCTGGTGAGGCGGCCTGCGCAGCAGTGCAGACTCCTCGAAAGCCTGTCTAGGCACCTGTTGCTGATGACATGGAGCTAGGGAGCTCCAATCCTTCTAGAGTCAGTGCTCCCTGCGCCTGCCACTTTTGACTACTGCCTTTTCAACTCATTTAAGGTTATTCCAAATACTTGCTTCAGGGGATTGGCCTTTCCTTCCACGCCTGTCCTTCACCCACAAACTCACTGTTCTCCGAGAGCAGTGAAGTTCTGCCAAGTCACCGGACAGCCTGAGGCCTGGATGGCCTATCTGACCCTGGCTTCTCTACCCCCTTCGGACCATAATTCCAGTGGGGAAACTTTTGAGGTACTCCGCACTTGCCAGGCCTGCAATATGAGTTCTGATATCTGAGGAACAAAAGTGGCTGGGTCGGTGTCCACTGCCCGCCTGTGTTTCCTAAGGGACAGCAAAAGGGACACAATAAGTGCTTTGAGTCTTTAAGCATGCTCTCAACCCAAGGATGGGACATGTTATGAAAGGACCACCACTGTGGTCACTGCCTCCGAGGAAGAACAAAGCGGGCGGCTGTAGCTGCACAACAAATCAATCAGAGGCAATTAGAAGTCAGGGTTACAGAGAAACAACGGAGGGCCCATGCCTGAAAAGGAGGTGGCTGATACCTGGAGTGGCTGACTGGTAGCTCCCTGGGGACTCCCAATTTGTTTTTGGGTTTCCTGCTGTACCAAGGGCAACAAGGAAAATGCCTTCAATGCTAACGGTAAAGTAAATGAAAGTGGGTTACTGAAGGGATTCCGGGACACCAGGTGGGTGGCACAGCCTTGGTGGCACTGACCTTCTTGCCCACAACCTATGAGTAACAGCCATGCTCCAGATCCCCTCTTCTAAAGACCCATTAGAGTGGGTTTTGAGGTTCTTTTTGGAGAAAGCGGTCATGTAAAATTCCGTTACTATTCTTTGGGAATGTTTGGTGCTCACAGCTGTGGCCTTCTGAGCCAACGGGCTGAAGCCTGGCCATGGCAGTTTCTAATTTGGAGGCCAGATGGGAGTGGATCCAAATCTGGCTTCACACTGCTCTGGGGTCCCGTAGGTCCTGGGCTGTTACTGACCTGGGAAATAATCTCCAGCGAGTCTTGTGGGAGCCTTTCACCTGAATGAAAAGGTTAGCAAAGACACCCAGCCTAGAATCACACCAGCTTTCGTACTGCAAAATAATGGAAGTTCTGCTGCGGAAATTTCCATCTGGAGCCAAGAGTTTTCCTTTGCAGGCAGATGCCTTTAAAAGGCAGATCAATAATATGGCTTCCTTCTGGGTAATTGAATCCTGCTGTCTGCTTTGTTTCTCCGGTCTTCCTGTTTATCATGCCGACAGGCTCATGTCTGGCCTGCTCGGCAGAGGGGGCACATCTGGAAAAGCCACTGTCCGGGGCATTCGCGCTACTGAGCTGAAGACTCAGGGGACGCAGCTGTTGTGATAACAACAAGAGAAACACACGGCCCGTCGCTTTAGAAAGCTGCTGGCTTCGCAAAGCTCAGTGCTAAATACAGCATTTGAGAAACTCCAGCCAGCAGCAGAGGCCAAAGGCATGTTTAAAGTCCTGTCTGTGCCAAGGTGTTCACGGAGAGGCCAGCCCTGCCCCGGGATGGTGACTGTCAGGGAACAGGAATTAGCATGCGCCACAGCATGCACAACCTCCACACACACAGTCAGCCTTTTCCCTCTGATTCAGGCCAAGGACCATGCAGCATTAAGCTGTCACAAGTCATTGTTTTGGGACCTGATGGGTAGTGAGGCCACTCTCAAGGGGAGAAAGGTCACTGACTTCTATTGTGGGTTTTAAAGGTCATATGACCTGAGAGCTTCTTGAAGCTGAGCTGATTTTCAACCCTGCGGGCCAGAGCACCTATTCTCAGCTTCTTCAGGAAGGTGACAAACATGCAGGTCCCCAGGCCCCTGCCCCTGAGACTAATTCAGTAGATGGCCTTGCTTCAGAAAGCTTATGACCACTTAGCCAATCTCTGGCATCAAGGAAAGAGCTGAGCTTGACTGTAAGAGACTCAACTTCCGGGAGCATCAGGTCCCTGTCTGTAGGACAGGGCTGTGAAGGTTTGACCCGCAGGGCTGCTACTGGAGAAGAACGCATGAACCATCCCTGGCAGAAGCAAGCCTGGCCTTGAGCCTGTGTTGTGGTGCCCGCTCCCAGGCAAGCCCCCTCAGGAGTCAGCAGGGAGTGTGACACTCTTCCAGGCCCCGCTCCGGTTTCTGTGCCTATCTGTGCCAACCTCAGGGCATCATCCCACACCCTCTGCCCTGCAGGCAGTCAGCTGCAACTGCTCTTGGTTCCTGAACATACTTCTGCTCTCCTGTTCTGGAACTTCCTTCTTGCATCCCATTTCCTGGTTCCAGAATTCCCAATTCTCCCCATGGAAAAGCTTCCTTCCCATAAACCCTAGCATAGCTTTATAGCATGGCACTTTGCACCCGATACACCTAGAAGCTTTCAGTTTGTAACTCATCTTCTTTACTAGTCTTGGTAAGACGCACAGCATCCACTTACTAGCGTGGGATCCTGCTCGGGGAGGGGCTACCTCACTCCTACAGCCCTCCCCTGAGTCTTTCAGGCTGACGTAAGGAAAAGGTACAGGGGTCCGGGTAGAAGCCAAGGGCAAAGGCAGCGATGGTCTCCAGCTTGGGGGAGGGCACTGTGGCGGTACAAGAGGAGATTGGAGTGGTGTGGTGGAGTCCAGAGTGGAGAGAGACCCCTGGTGCTAGCATCTGCTCCCGAAGTTCCTCCCAAGGCTTAACTGCATCTCTGCCCATGGGCATCTGGCTGCTCCACCCTACTCTGGAAACCACGAGGCTGCAGATGCCCCTTCACACCTGAGCTGATTCCAGTGGTGTCTTGTTAGTGGCGACCCAAAGTCTCCTACTGCACGGATCTCAGCATTCTTCCTACAGTGCCACCGGCTTGGAAACTCATGAGATGAGAGAGACAAAAGCATGGAGTAGACAGTAAAGGGCTGACTGCCTGGTGCTAACGACCTACTCCAACAACTCTCGATGTGATCAATTACCGCTCAGCCTTGGTTTCCCTCTCGGGAACAGGGGTACCCAACTCCGAGTTAATTTAAACTCTGTAGGGTTCAAGTTAACATCTGCAAGTCTCACAACACAAATGCCAGTTACTCCCAAAGGACTCGCTATTAACACGTGGATGAAGGATGGGGAGACAGAACCATCACCCCCTCAGCCTCCTGCCTCCTCCTTTCCTCACCATAATGTGCTTGGTGCCTTTGTAATGACTAAACTGTTGGAAATCACTGGCTTAAGAGATGTCTTCGTAGGTGGACGGGGACTCCCAAAGACAAAGGCACATGTTTGTCTTGGCTCCCAGCTTTATCCCAGGTCTGGCTGGCTCAGAGATGGGTCTATAGAAGGCACTCAGTAACTACTTGTGGAAAAATTGATATTGTGTCATCATGTTAGATACTAGTAACACAAATGTTACACAAACTGGTGCCTTTTGCAGGAGAAGTAGAAAAGTCACAGGAAAAGAGGCACAGCCACATAGGCCTGTAATCCCAGCACTGAGGAAGGCTGAGGCGGAAGATGACAAATGTGAGTCCCACCTGGGCAACTTATCAAGACACTGTCTTAAAACAAAATAAAAAATCAAAAGGCCTGAGGGTGTAACTCAACAGTAGGGGGTAGAATGACTCTAACCTTGATGCTTAGTACTGGAGGAAAAGAACAAAACCAAACCAGAAAAACACACTTAACTTCTAGGATAACTCATTGAGAACTAAAGTTAATTCTTTAGATTTAGCCAGTTATATTACTCAGAAATTACTAGGGGACTCCTTATTTAAAAATTAATTAACATAATGGAAATATAACAGGCCAAAACTTAATACATTAAAAGCAATAACAAGAGGAAAATTCATAGCCATAAACAGGTAAATAAAAAGGAAAACAAATTAAATTCCCAATTTAAAAGATAGAAAAAACTTAAGAAAAACAAAATAAGGAACAAAGATAGCATAATAAAGATAAACTCATAAATTGGTGAAATAGAGAATTGGAAGATAATGGATTTATGGTTTTTAGAAAACAATTAACAAAATAGGCAAGTTGCTAACCTAGTCGAGGGAAGAAGAATAAAACCCTAATATAAAATGGGGGGAGATTCATAAAAAGTGGAATTTAAAAAAATTCATGAGACTACTTTGCAACTTGTTATGCAAATAAATCTGAAAGTGTAAATCAAATGGATAATCACCTAGAAAAGGATAACTTACCAAAATGACTTAATTAGAGATAGAAAGCTTCAAAAGATCACTCTTTATAGAATAAATAGAGGAAAACTTTAAAGGAATTTCCCACAACAAAAGCACCAGGCCTAATGAATTTCACAGAAGTATAAACCTTTAAACACCATGTGGTTTGAATGCTACCTGAATCCTTTGGTGCAAGAAAAATAAAGGTAAGTTTCCAAATTACCTTTCTGAAGCAAATACAACATTGGTACCTACACAAGGACCACATACAAATACTAGCAAACAAAGTCAACATCTGCTGCTGTGTCAAGGTGTCCCCTAGAAGGCTTGCCTAAGAGACTTAGTACCCCAGGAAGTGGTGTGGAAGACACTGCCAGAGGAGGGTCGGCGGCTCTGCCCTACCAGGGCATCGATGGCTCAGCACGGGCAAGAAGCTCAGAATAGAAGGCGGCACACAGCCCCCCTTTCTTTCCTCCTCTTTGTCTCTGCCTTCTGTATAGAATCACACCGCACAGGCCCTCACTACGGGCCAGCTCCCTGATCTTGGACTTCTCAGCCTCCAGAATTGTGAGGAATAATTTTCTGTTCTTTATACTTTATATATTTTTTCTGGTGTTGTGTTGTAGCAGCACAAGATGGACTTAAACACCATCATGCTAGGAAAGCAATTCAGTAAGATGAAGGGGAGGGGGATTTAATTCCAGCAATACCAGGTTGGTTTGATATTATAATAAAATATATTAAGAATCATCTGATAGTCTCCATTGATGTTGAAAAAACCTTTGCTAAAATTCAACATTTACTTCTAATTTTAAAAAATCAAAAACTATCAATTGATGAATACTTCCTTGCCATGATAAACTCCAGAAGCTTTAGTTCTGAAGCCAGAATATACGAACAGAAGACTCACGGAGGCATAGCTACTAAGATCAGAAACAAATGAGGATATCCTCTGTCCCTACTACTATTCACTACTGCACGAGAGGTACGAGCCATTGTCACCAGACAAGAAAAATCAACTAGAGGGACAGAAACTGGAAAACTTAAGGTGAAATTATTTCTATTCCTTTTTTTTTTTTCTTTTTCATTTTTTGTGGTACCAGGGATTGAACTCAGAATGCTGCACTTGCCAGGCAAGTGCTTATTCTACTGAGCTATCTCCCCAGTCCCCATATTCCTGAATGATATAATAGTATACTTTGAAAATCTGAATGAATCAATTCTCAAATTAACTCAACCAATAAAAGAATGAAGCAAACTAGCAGGATATGAAATTCACATAGAAAAACCAATAGTCTGTATACACAAAAGTAAAAAATATAACAGCAAATAAATACCCATTTGCAGTATTAATAATGAAAATGCTTAGATATAAATTTAATAAGAAATGTGCAAAACCTATAAGAGGAACAGTTTTAAAAGCCTGAAATCTATAAAAGTAGATGTGAATGAATGGAACGATATCCCTTGCTCATGGGTAGAATAACCCAACATTAGACAGATGCCAGAACTCCCAAAATGTATCTATAAATAATTTAATAAAAATACCACAAATTCTTTATGGACCTAGACAATTTGATATAAAGAACATGTAGAAATATAAATATGAAAGTATGTGGAAACCTTGATATTTTAGAGGAAAAAAAACCAAAAGGAACCATGAGGGAGGGGTGTCTAGTTCTCCCTCACACTGAATCATTCTACCAGATCTCTGTCACTAAGCATGTGAGATGCTGGTAAATGAAGAGACAACAGAATAGAACAGAACTCCAGAAGGAGAGTCAACCACACAGAAAAGGCTTAAGTCCCTGGCACATAGGTGGGACCCTTAATGAAGTGGTGCTAGACAGTGGGGAGATCTACTTGGAAAAAAGAGATCTAACATTAGAGCCCTGTCTCATCCTAGCTACACAAAGAAACTCCAAATTTGAAAAACAAAACAAAACAGAGGGAGAGAATTTCTGTATAAATTTGGTATACAGAAGGAGCACAATAAAAATAAAACCTTGATGATTACACCATGTAAAATTTTTTAATATTTTCACGGTCAAAAATAATTGACAATTTTTTAAGAGTATATCTCTATTTCATACTCAAAATAAATTGTGATGGCTCATTTTGGGGATAGCTTTTCTTAGTTTCTTTTTTTAAAAAAGAGAATAAAAACCACTAAAAATGATACAGAATATCAAAACAAGATAGATGACAGGAAATCAACAATGGTTGTTATACTGCACACTGTTATCTTCAAAGTAGTTGTTCAGATTATCAGATATAAGCATGCTAAATTGGTAAAAACAATTAAGCATTAACTGTTCCGTTCAGTAAAACCAATAGAAATTAACAGTACTTAACTACTTTGTGTGTGTGTGTGTGTGTGTGTGTGTGTGTGTGTATTTCGTTCCCCCTTCTCTGTTTCTTTTCTTCTTCTCCGTCCCAGTTCTTGAGCAGCTGCTTTTCCTTTCACAGTGTCTATTGTACTCCTTGGATCTTATTTACTCTTTTAGCTTCTTACACTAGGGAGACAATGTGATGTTTACACATGTGAGTCTGATTTATTTCACTTCTGAGTGTGGTGTCTAGTTGCACCCATTTACCTTTAAAAGCCTCGAGTTTATCTTTCTTTATAGCTGAGTAATATGCCTGTATAAAACTACCACATCTTTTTTATCCACTTCTCAGTTGATGGGCATTTGGGTTGTGTGGAGATTCCTCCAAAAACTAGGATTAGAGGTCCCACTCAACCCAGCTATTTCCCTTCTGGGTTTTTTCCCAGAGGAACTGAAACATCATACCACAGGGATACATGTGCACCTTGGTTATAGGAGCACAATTCGTCATAGCTAAATCTCAGATAATTATTTTTTAAAGTATTTATTAAGAGGAGATCTTTTAGCCCAAGGATGTTAGTTTAGTCTCTGGCAAATGTGATGACTTCTTCCCTAAATAAGCCTCTTATAAAGTTTCATTTGAAAGGAGCACAGTGGAGAGACAGCCTTGTCTTGGGTTAGTATCGGCCCCCACTTTACCTTCTTCAGGTTCTTGTGGGCCCCACTGTGGTTCCCCTGCACCAGGTCTGCCCCGCTCAACAGCCTGAAAGTCTCTGCCACCTCAAGACTGAAGTAGCCAAATGCTTCCACTTTGGCTTCCAGGGACTCCTTTAGGATCAATGTTGCTCTCTACGAAAGAGACAAAAAGCTCTCTGGTTAAGAAGCCCAACTGGTGCGGTGGCACAAGCCTGTAATACCAGCATTCTGGGAGGCTGAGGCAGGAGGATCAAAAGTTTGAGCCCAGCCTAGGCAAATTAAGTGATTCGGCAAGACACTGTCCCAAAATAAAAACTAAAACATAAAAAGACTGAGGATGTAGCTCAGTGTGAAGGCCCCAGTGCCACACAGACCAAACCAAACCTAAACAAACCAAACCAGACCAGACCAAACCGAAAGAAGCCTGCTTCTGTTGCTTTCTGAATCATTTCAGTTGAACATTAGGACTAACAGTTAATGTGCACTGTGTCCTTCTGTACTGAACGGTGCCCCACAGTTTCTGTGTGAACACATCCAACTCTCACTGCCTTCCTTAGAGGGGTACACTTTCAATCCCCATTTGACAGAAGAGAAAACTGAGGCATAGCGCACCAGTCATGAAATTTGCTCCGAATTGGGCAGCTCAAGGATGGTACTGGCAGGGCGAGGGCCTGCCACAGGCCAGCATTTTCCACACTCATTAGGTCCACACTTCTGTGTGTGTGTGTGTGTGTGTGCCCCGCACTCTCACATGCATGAAAACCCAGCAGAACGTCTGGAGCATATTCCAAAATTCTCTGTTCTCACAGAAAACAGTTTAGGCAGCCCAAAGTAAGCACTCCACCATGATGAGACATTTTATTTCGTCTAATCCAATCTGTTTAAATCAACTCTGAATAAAAAAAATGAGTTGGTCAGAAAGCAGCAGGATTTCCTGACATTAATTTCTTCCCCAAAGATCACCTTCCTGTTGGTAGCCGTGTGTAGGATGCAGTCACACCAAGGGTGTTCCAAGGGAGCCCCCTGCTCATCTCCGAGGCTGTCCTTGGGCCCCACCTTTGGTGGCCAACTCCCACTGTAGCCCACAGTCAAAGGTTTGGTGGTCACATGTGCAAATGGCACAGCATGAGGCTGCCTCTCAGGCTGGGCAGGTTGTGCCACACACAGCGCCTGGCAGGAGAAGAGGGTGCAGGCTAGCCGGTGGGGCACCTTCCACACAATGTGCTGTAGCTCGGGCTGCGTCCCACCTGAGGAAGGGACAGCTTTCCTACTCTTGTAGGCCACTGTATGGGCTGGCAGTAGCCCTAGAATGAAAGCAGCCAATTTGAAAAAATGGCAAAGGGCAGCGTGAGAGAGTAAGGTGCATCTTTTGATCAACATCATGGATATGGATGATTGGGCAGGGGTAGCATAGTCACGGCCCAGCACTGGCGACACAGGACACCAGCTGCTTCAGAAGCAGGCCCCCCAGCAGAAATGCAAAGGAGACAGAAAGGAGCACGTGGCCGGCCTGAAGCAAGATATGTGTCTGCCATCCGCTCATCACCCCCACCTACACCAAGACCATCCCACTGTCATAAAATTCAGCGGGGTCACTTAGGAGTCTTTAAACATCCGCACACGTATGGATTTACAAATGTTTTCCTGCATCAAACAGGGTTCTTAAGAGAGAGTCATGGGGGAGTCCAGGAAGAAGAAGCAAGGAAGCTGGAATGCTCTGAAGGATGGCTTGGTGTCAACCTGCAAGGGGAGGGGGCTTTCTAGAAAGAAGCGAGGGTGGACTCTGGCCAGAGGTGGGGATTAGTAAAGGCCAAGAACACGGATCCAGCAGAGGCAGCAACGTGAGATGAGAAATATCGGTAGAATCCAGACAGGGAAGGTGTTTGGAGCCATATAGGGATTCAGGTTTAATTTAGGGGCATTGAGAGGTCATCAGGGTGTGTTACACATTAGTGTTCACTAATCAGGTGTGCTTTTTGAAAAGGTTGCCTTGGCCTATCTTTAATAAATTAGAAAAGGGTACACATAGGACAGGCAGCTGGGAGACAGGCGCGGGCTAAAGCAGTCCAGGCGGAAGATGATGCCTGCGGGAGCAGAGGTGGAAAATGATAGCTGGATTCTTGGTGTACCCAGAAATACCGGGAAACTGCACAGGCTAAGCTGAGACAGCAAGACATATCCCCATTTTTCCAACCAGAGCACTCCCCACAGGATACCCAGAGATAGGGTTCGGGTGGACATCAGAGGTCCCAGAATGGCCTTCTCTCCTTGGTCATGCGGCCCCCAAAAGTACTGAGACTCCATTTGCTATGGCAATGGCAGCTATTCTTTGGCCTGAGAGATACGAGTGCACCCCCATCAAGTGCTCATATTTCTTAATCAAGACTGGCCTGTAGAGATTAACGGTGAGGCAAGTGCAATGTGGATGGCGGGCTGCAGACAGCGAGGGGGAGATAAATCTTTCATCCCCAAGATGTGCCATAAAGGGCTGGGGAAAAAAAAAACAACAAACAATTAAGCTATCCGGTGGCTTTCTGGAAGCTGTTGGGCTTTGCAGGAAATAAGTTCCCATGGGTTTAATTTCTATGAATATAAACTCTGGGCCTTGTTCCTTTTTTATAAGCTCTGTAAAGCCTGTACAGATCAATGGCAAGAGAGTGAGCTGACATTTCTGTGCTGCGCACTTTCCACTGGATATGCAAATGCACTCATTACCTGGAACGAGGGGAAGGAATTAGATGGACTGTCAACACGACCCCAGCCGAAGCTGCGGGCTGCGGCAAGCAGGGTTTTGTCCACTGGTTTCTCAAGGGTCCTAGTTGTTTAGGATCTGCCGGAGGTGGGCAAGTCAACTACAGTCTCGTAAACAGTTTCCCAGTTTCTAGGAGCAAGCCCAGGCATGGTCCCGGGCCTTATCCCCAGACCCCCTCCACAGTCTCGGACACAGCCTGCATCCAGGAGGTGTTTAGCAGCTGCTTCCGGAGTGGGCCTCTGAATATCAACCATCACCCATGTGAGTAAATACACAATTGCATTCTGAATTTGCTCACCTCTTTTTGTCCAATGATTTGGAGAAAATGGCAAAACTGATCTTGAATTTTAAGAAATTTGGCCCCTCCTGCACCTTCCGAACCCTTAAGATGAGCCATGCTCTCTTGAAAATACTTCTCAGTCAGACCTGAAGAAAAGCATCACAGCAAGAATTTTGAAAACGGCTCGCAGATTTGAAATGCAAATGTAGTGACAGTGCTTTCAGTGGCAGTGCATTATTGGGAAATAATTGTATTTGGACAAGGGAAAGCAGCTAAGGAGGCTGTCCTGCGCCTGCTCATCTGCCTGTTTCGTCAGAAAAAAATGTAGGTCTCAGAAGGATCCAATTATTATTTTTTTAATTTTGATACATTTTAGCTTCCTTTGAAAAAAAAGTTAATATAAAGCAAGAAACTGTCCCTCAGACCTGACCACAGTGCTAAGTTTTCATGACGATTGATCATTTACTTAACCAATAACTCTGTCCACTCCTGACATTAGGACTCCACGGCCCCCTTACTTTAGTGGACTTGGACTATAATCTTGTTACACATTTGGATAACATGAAAAACCTGGAAAATATGGTTGACATGCTGCTGAGGAAAGAACTCCAAACCATCTAAGCCTGCAGGCTTGCTGGCTGTGATCTGATGGAAATCTTTTTAAATGCATGACAATCGTGAAAGTCAGAAAAGGAGAAGCTTAGGTTATCAAGAGTGGAGGGAAAGCCTGAGCAATCCCTGTTAGTGTTTGTGTTAGTGTAACAAATTCCTGAGATGAATTGATTTTTAAAGAGGAAGTGTTTATTGTAACTAAAGAGTTCTGTAGGCTTCAAGGCAGGATCCACTGGTCCCATTGTCCTTGGATAGGAGTGCTGAGGGGAGCAAAGCTTCTCACCTCTGGCAGACAAGAAGCAAAAGAGTGGGGCACAGGCAGGCCCAGGGTCACGATGTCCAGTTCAGGGCAGGCCACAGGCTGGCTTCCTCCCATCAGCCCCACCTCCTAAAGCATCTCCTACCTCCCAGTAGCCCTCTGGCCCCAATCAAGCCTTTAACACCTGGACCTTTGGGGGACACTTAGCCAACCCAGCAATGAATAGCAGCAGAAACTGAAAGCTCTATGAACCTATTAGAGAAATGGAACTTTTCTATGTATCGGGGTTTTCCAAGGTTGAGCAGGAGTGAGATGAAGCCCAAAGCCAGCTTTGTTAGGAAACCAAACCATGCTCCCTGCAAAACAGCAGGGCAGCCAACAGTTTAATTCTTGATGACGCCCATCTGGCGACGCCTCGCGCCCTTGTGTAATTCCATCACTTTTGCTCAGGAGTGGAATTTGTAAGCATGGTGAGAATTCCTGTGCTGAGGTCATGCTACAGAATACTACTGGCTTTCAGAGGATGAGATGGATGAGATGATCCCTTGGGCCTGACACGATCACAGGGACCCTTGCAAAGCAGAATCTTGTCCAGGTGGTAGCAGACAAGGGAGTCCAGGCAAAGGGAAGCCTTAGTGAGAAACAAGGAGGCCCTCCACTGGTGGAGGGAGCCAGCTGGAGTAAAATGAAGACCTGAGAGAGCCAACAGCAGCTGAGAGGCCTTCAGTCCTACAGGCAGCTGAAGTCTGCGAATTACAGGAATGAGCTAAGAGGAGATCCTAAGGCCAACATGACAACGAAATTGGCCAACAACTTGGTTTTCACCAGAGCAAGGATGCCAGCCCCACCGTGCCAGATTTCTGACCTCCAGGATGAGATGAGTAGAGGATGGCTAAGCAACTGTAAATTGTTAGGCAGCAAAAGAAAACTAATCCCATTAGCGCTATGATCTGAATGCCAAGTACCCCTCCAATTCAGATGCGAGGCCCTAACCTCCCCGGTGACAGTGTCAGGAGTAAGTCTTTCAGAGGGTACTGAGTTATAAGGGAAGAGCCACTGTGAATGGGATTAGTGTTCTTATGAAAGGGACCCCAGTGAGTGCCCTTGTCCCCCTCTGCCTCTAAGCAGTCTGTCACTTGGTACCGCGTCTGGCAGTACCTCGATCCTGGGCATCCCAGCTTCTAGATCTACGTAAATTTTTTTATATAAGTCACCTAATCCATGACATTTAAAATAGCAGCTTGAACAGACCAAGATAGCTATCGGTCCCTAACATGGAGAAAAGGTCAGTTACACTAGACGGAGGAAAGGCCTAACTGACTCTGAGCTTTTCCCTTCCATCCTGGGCTGAAAGGAAGGAGCTGTGGCAGGAGAGACGAACTGTGAGGGGACACAGACAGAATGAAACGGGGCCTGGGACCCTTTGCAGAGAAGCAGCCCCGCACACCTCAGGACTCTTGTGACCCTGCCTGACATTCACAGGAGCATCCTGAGTATAGAGAAATGATCCCAAGTGAACACCCAGGTGATCTGCTTACTACACCTACTCAACGGAAAGAAAACGCCAGTCTGTGTTCTCCTACAAGGTTCCGTGCACACGGAGTCCTAGGCTGAAGCAGGAATCGCGCTGCTGCGCGGGATTTCCTCCTAGGAAGGGCTCCATCCCAGGCTCTGCAGCTGGACCCAGGTCAGCAGAACTGGATTCCTGTCCCCTCATTTCTTAGACCAGCAGGCCGAGTCCGGCAGAATTACTCAAGTACTACTCAGAATGCTCCACCTCTTTCACCCATAGCTGATTCATAGGCAAAACCAATGTAGATTTTAATGCTTGAACTAAGTAGTATCTTTGGCTAGTTTAACAACCTGATAATGGTGAAACCTGGAGGTATGGCATTTACTCTGCTGATTCTGAAAACATTACAGAGATGAGCAGCCCACATGTAGTGGGCTGTAGATATTCAGGAATGGGCACTCTTGATGTTTGAGTTTTCTGGCTCATCGAGAATTAACTACAGAATGCAACCCACTCCTTTAAGAACGTCTCACATCCCAACCTCATGGCCCTGGCGAAGAATGCATACAGTGAAGGCAGCAAATGAAGAAGGCTGGGAAGGAGCTGGGACTGACTGAGCAGAGACCCAGGCCCCGGGGTGGGGTGAAGTGGTGTGCCCTGCAGGAAAGGGTGGGAACCAAAACCCCGAGGCTTTTCCCTCCCCTCTCCCTCCTGGATCAGGAGCGGGTTTCCCCAGGGGCAGTGGACACAGCTGCACCGGACAACTCCCTACTCCCAATTTTGGCAAGGTTTTCCTGTCTCCCAGTATTCCTCCCCCAGCCAGGAGCTGACCAGCTGCCCCCAACGTAGGCTCTAGGACTGACAAGGCACTCCTCTCCCTCAGTGCGGCTGAGCTCACAGAGACTACCAGAGAGATGGCTCAGTAGAATAAGTGCTTGCCTGGCAAGCACAAGGGCCTGAGTTCAATCCCTGGTTCCGCAA